CCGGGTGGGAGGAGCGCCCCGCCCTCTCCGTTCTGGTGCCAGGCCACTGGGCGTTCGTTTCTTTTTTTCATTTTTTATTTAAAAACAAATTGTTTTTTGGTGCTTATTCTTGAGAGGGACAGAGCGTGAGCAGGGGAGGGGCAGAGAGAGGGAGACATAGAATCTGAAACAGGTTCCAGGCTCTGAGCTGTCTGACTCGGTGCTCGAACTCAAAAACCGTGAGATCATGACCTGACAGAAGTGGAAAGCTCAACTGACTGCGCCACCCAGGCGCCCCTGGGCCTTCGTTTCTTGGCCACCTCCCCACGTGGTCTTTTTGTCAGTCCTGACGTGGCGGGGCCACCGCCCAGCGTCCCTAACAACCTGTCTGCATGCAGCCACCCTGGGCCCGTACACCCTCTGGGTTGGAGAAGCATCCCTTTGCTGCTCCAACAGGCTCATTCCAACCAGCTCCTCACGCCCTTGGGTATCCCCAGGAGATCTGCCTGCCGAGAGCCGGGGGCCCACTGGGGCTCAGCATCGTCGGGGGCTCTGATCACTCCAGCCACCCGTTTGGTATCCAGGAGCCTGGCGTATTCATCTCCAAGGTAGAGTGGGCCCCGCGTGTGTCTCTGCTAGGAGGGCCCGGCCCAGGCAGGGGGCAGCAAGGCCTGCAGCCCACCGGACCTCACCCCTACCCCCACTGACAGGTGCTCCCACGGGGCCTGGCTGCACGCAGCGGCCTCCGGGTTGGGGACCGCATCCTGGCAGTGAACGGGCAGGACATTCGGGAGGCCACGCACCAGGAGGCGGTCAGTGCCCTGCTTCGGCCCTGCCTGGAGCTGGTCTTGCTTGTGAGGAGGGACCCGCCACCCCCGGGCATGCGGGAACTCTGTATCCAGAAAGCTCCCGGCGAGAAGCTGGGCATCAGCATCCGAGGGGGCGCCAAGGGCCATGCGGGGAACCCCTGTGACCCCACAGACGAGGGCATCTTCATTTCCAAGGTGAGGGCCCCTCCTCGGCCGGCCCCGCCCCACTGGGTTCCTCGGGGAAGAGGAACCATCGTAGACCTCGAGGTCCGGGTCTCTCTGCAGGTGAGCCCCACGGGAGCAGCGGGGCGTGACGGCCGGCTGCGGGTGGGGCTGCGGCTGCTGGAGGTGAACCAGCAGAGCTTGCTGGGCCTGACACACGGCGAGGCCGTGCGGCTGCTGCGCGGCGTGGGCGACACCCTCACCGTGCTCGTCTGTGACGGCTTCGACACCGACGCTGCCGCCCCTGCCGAGGTCAGTGCCCACCCCCATCGGCGCCCTGCCACAAGGACGGGGTCCTGTTTGCAGCGCAGCCTAGACGTGCGAGGAGTGACCCTGTGTGGGCTGGGAAAGCTGGTCTTTCCATCTCTAGGCCTGGGGAAGCCCTCGGCCACTGTGAGTCCACGTGGGAGGGGGCCACGGTCCCGGGTGGGACAGGGCGTGTGAACTGACGGCACGATTGGGCCCTAGAAGAAGCCGGGTGCCTTCGGGTGGGCGGCATCTGCAGGGCAGGGCCACGAGCCGCGACAGCATGGCTTTGAGCCACGCACGCAGCGAAGTTGGGGCCCCTCGGGACTCTGCCTGCAGACACGTGTGGGGACCCCTCAGGGGACCTTGCTTCCCAGGACCTACCTCAGAGCGGAAGCCACGTGGGACGTGTGCGGGGCCCTCGGTCTGAACGAGTCTGGCCTCTGAGCCCGGCTTCCCCTCTGCTCTGGAGGGTCCCCTGTCTCACCCTCTCCCACCTTCTCCACTGCTGTCCCCGGGGCCCCCAGGCAAAAGGTGACGCGGCTGTGCCTGCGCCCCAAACGGGCCTCTGAGGACCCTTCGCCACAGTGGCTGCCTACT